TAAACTTATAGATCACTCAGAATTACTGAATGTAAAACTAGCAGTTCCACCCGTGGTGGTCCGCGTTTGTGCCATGCCTCTCTGCACCGAAACCACCACGGCTGGTAATCCAGCTTATGTGTGAAGTGGCTTATAATGTTTCGTTGGGATTAGGTGAGAGGACAAGCTTCATTGGAGGTTGACGATATGACGGTAAGTGGATAATTGAGGATTATTTCATCAATCAGCATTATATTAGCAAAAAACAATTACGACAAAGCCTTTGTTTTTCCCCGAATTATGAATTCAATATGTGAATTGCTAAATTGTGCTCTAGGTTTATGGTCCAAATTTTACACCCTAATATTATTTTTATTTTTCCCCTCAGTCCTTCTTCTTCTTCTTTTTCTCATTCTTTTTGTTTTTACTATTTTTTGTTGTCTTCATTTGGTTGACTGCAAGAAAAGACCTCTGCATAATTGCCTGTTCTATTTTTACAACATATATATACCTAGTTTAAATTTGCTTAAAGTGCTACTACGACGAAAATCGCTCAAACTTGGATTCAGCTGAAACTTCCTAARAATACTCTTTAAAGGTCCAATAATCACTGTATGAAGTGTTTTCTCRATATTCAGGACGAAAGTATGATATTTTTACGATTATTTTTTGGAGTCTGTGACGTCATACACTCAACATCGAACATCGCTCCATACATTTCTTTGTAGTTATGATCAAAATATCAGTAGTCAAGGGAGAAAGAAATACCCAAACACCCCAAAATATAAATTATAGTCACAAGTAATGTGAAATAAGCACATTAGCCACCCTTTGGGCTTCATAGGAATAAAATAAATTAAGGATTTATATACAAAGAAATATATGTAGCAATGTTTGATGTTGAGTGTATGACGTCACAGACTCCAAAAAATAATAGTTGAATATTAAATTTCTTTGTACTCCAATGATAGTTCGAATTCTTATTGCAGCCTTTAGACTAAAAGATCGTGATAGCACAAACGTTAACAGGAATACGAAACATGGAGTATATAAATTAGTTGACTTGATTCACTAATTTACTAAGCTAGATGACTTGATTCACTAATGTATTCGCCTTGTAAAGCCCCGTTTACACTGGCGACTTTTACGGCGATTTTTGCTGCGATTTCTGAGGCAATTTTCGGAAATATGAAATCTTTTGTCTCATCCTTCAAAAGAGACATTCGTCTAGGAAAATCTTGGTATCCTGAAAAAACTTTATAAGTAAATTGTTTATCATTATTTATTATGGACAAAATCGCAAAAAAATCGCAGCAAAATTCGCCGCAAAAATCGCTAGTGTAAACGGGGCTTAAAGTAATACTTGTGTGAATTAACAGTATTGCACACCTTGGAGACACAGATTGCACAATGTCTTGCCGGAGGCAATATATCGCAATATATATCACTTACTTAATAAAAACAAAGAAGTTTGTTTAATACTGGTCGCACTTCAAAGGTAATCCCCCTAAATCCAGCAACTAAGTCAAGATAAGTCCTTCTATGTCTGGAGTCTAGCGTGAAGGATTATGGGATCAAACAACGAGCGTTGCTAGGCAGCGGAATTATTTAGGTAGCTCATAGAAGCCTTTTTCCTGAAAGCTCTTTTGATTTTAGCTCAAAAATAATTAGTTTGCTTTGCTAGATCAAACGCATTTTCATAAAGGATGTTTTAATAATTTTTTAGAGAACCTCTTTACTATTAAACAGATAATATCTAGAGCTTAGCGTTGTGTGTCTTGATTACAGACTCATTTACTCAGGCTTAGCCTCGAATCAGTGTCTAAATATTCACAAATACCAACGGTAAAGTAAAGAATGCACAAGTTCAACAATACAAACACTTTGAAACTTGACGGGCCTTCACTTGTAAAAATGATATTATACAAAAAATCGGGCGAACCCTGAGTAAATGAGTCTGTAATCAAGAAACACTGCGGTAATTTGGAACTCGAAAAGGGTCTATTGCAAATCCGAAAAGTAGTCTTTAGTATTGCATGTTGACTTCATTGTTTTCACTGCGGGTGATAATTTTTACATTCGCAATTTTCGTTCGTTTTCATCTTCGCGTTCTATTTTTTCCATTTTTTCCTATTTCTTATCTTTGTCGACCGACAAAAAAAAAAAAAAAAAAAAAAAAAAAAAAAAAAAAAAAAAAAAAAAAAAAAAACCG